ACATATATATATTCCAAGAAAATAATAATATATGAAATAATATATTAGGAATAAATTTGTATATTCACAGGAAGAATTTAATGAGACGAATTGTATCAACAATTAAGAAACTTAATTTTAACTGATTAACATGGATTTTTTTCTTTCATATATTTTATACTCCTTTTGTCTTAAATGTAATACTTATTTTGTAGTGTAATTTACACTACCAAATGAGTTTTATATTTAGAACAGAAGAAGTATTAAAATATGTTATGACTTATGAATAAAACTTTCAAACGGAATTCCCTCTAACCAAATATTTAGAAGTGGGAATTAGGGAATGTGATAGTAAAGATCTTTTCAGTTCTTACAGTAAAAGTGGTGTTTTAAAAGTGTAATTTTTAGTTACAGTTAATCGGAATCCTAAGTGAAATAAAAAGAAAAACTACGTTTTTCTAATCCAAATGGTTCATACTTGCACTTGTATCACCATTATCAATTCCCTTAGGGATAAAGTAAAACCACAAATCACATAGTTATGATTGTTATAGTTGCAGCGCAGGTTCGAAAATGCCAAACACAAATGGGAGCCTCCCTCAAGGCCATGAAAGAACAAGGGTGAAATCACAGTAGAATCTCAACAAAGGAACAAAATTACCAAAAACAACCCAGTAACAATAGAACAGCTTACAATGATAAGTTTAAGTATACTTATTTGTTATTGGGATTTGCTGGTAATTATTATTTTTTCTTGAGATCTCATTGCAATTTTCACACAGAACAAAACCCGTATGCTTTATTGAATCAAAAAGTCAAAATTATATATCATGTACTGCTTAGACAAGTAAGTTATTTAGATCCTCTCTCAAAAGCTCTTGGAGTTGAATTATAAACTTGGAAACTAATTATAAAGAGACTGTGTCTTCATATCACTGGCAGCTTAATTCACTATTGTGATGAATCTGGAATCAGAATTGCTTCCTGTTATCCTGCTTTGGCCGACAACCTCACCCAACATTATCTCATATTCCCAAAATTCAGTATCTGTCATCCACGTCACACACCCACGTGTCAATATCTGTTGGTTCCATTCGACCACGCGCCTTATATATAATTGGATTCGCCTCGTGGTCTAATCTGATTACTCAAATGTTTAGAGATGGTTTGGTCTAACAGTTGCCATTTTTGTTTCTCAATTATATATTCCCACTTTTCAGTTGAAGGCTGTGCATGAACAGAAAGCCGACTTCAACGATCATCCATCTTTTTATGTCCCACACGCACAAGAAAAAAACCAAATCAAAGATCTCTCCTTTGATCAAATCAATAATCACACATCAAAGGGGATTAATAAATTGTGAAGCTTTTCTTTTGCAGAATCATCGGTTTAGATAGAGGGAGTGGGACATATGATCAGATTTCAAAGTTATGTCCTCGTTCATGAACGGTAATAAGTTAGGTTTTAGCATAAAGTTCCACAAAAATTGGTGTACTGGTCGTATATATGCTTCTGTGATAGTGAGAAAATTTGTTGATATGATGATTCTGAGGAAAAAAAGCTTGCATTTCCATTTTCTGAGGAGGAATTAAACTTTTGGATCATAGAGAGATAAGATATTAAATTCAGTTGTTACACTGCTGAAGAAGGTAACTAATTAAATTACCTTATTTTAAGAAAACATGTTGATGCAGCGTCAGAATCAGAGGCAGGCAGAAATTTAATTTGTCAGAATTGGAATCATGGGATTTCTGAAATGATCAGAATATGTTCATTATGGATTGATCATTTGCCCGTTTGAATTTGAAGTCTTGCCATTATATATTCATTTTGGACACCTACATAACACTATATGGTGACAAAGACTGGCTAGCTCCATCAATATTTTTTAACTTATTGTTTCTTGTAAGCTTACTCTGGTGTTATATAATCATTGGCCTTCTTGGTTTAAGTGGAATAAGCAATTTAAAATCCCACCAAAAAAAAAAGCTCAACTCTTTCAAACACATGATTATCTACTACTGTTATCTCAACTCATTTCTTTACTTCTTTTTATCTTTGCTTTTGTGTGTGTGTTTTTTTTTTCGGTTTTCAAAGTCCATATACTTACAGTGTTTTGTCATATTATTATATGCATTAATTTCCAAAAGAAATACACTTTTTCCCTTTTAATTTAATTAACTATAGGTTTCTCCACCATTTTGGGTTCCACGTCTTATAACGGCGGCCATGTTAATAATTTGACAAGGACAAAATAATTCTTTAAGAAACAGAATGTGTATGAAGCCGCCCGCTCAAGGTCCTATATTTCAACATCATAGTGTACTTAGGCTCTAAATAGAGAGGATTTGTGTCTGCAATAACTTTCTTCTCAACCAAAACATAAGGGATATCGGATAACTTCCATGAATTTTAATTTGTCGACAGTTCAATATCATATGGCTGAATTATTGATTACTCGTTCCACGGAAAAAATCTAATTCATTCGATTATTTAACTCAAGACTTAGTCAATATCAATCAATTATTTATCTGAATCACATATATTAAAAAGTTGTTGAAGTTAATATGGCTGATGGTCTTACCACAATGTTCCAACGTTATTTGCAATTAAAATCATTAAATGATGTGTGGGTCTTTCTTTTACTAAAAGTGAAAACATTTTATTTCTAATAAGGAGAATATCCATAAAAAAAATTTACAAATGCTTTAAACATTCTGTCATATAGGCTTGCAAATGCTTTAAATATTTCTTACAAATGCTTTAAATATTTTGTAATATAGTGGTGTATATTAACAATCATAATAACTGTTAGACTGTAGTGTCTTGTTAGAACTATAAGTTTTTTCAGTTTTAAATGTAAGAGCTACTTATTAGAGAAATTTTATAATTTTATTTACAAGATTTCAATTTTTTTTGCTTCATTAATTAATTTTTTTCAAACATAAAATACAAGAGTGAATTAAATTTTGTCTTCTTTCTTTATGAGGGGTGTCTTAGAAAAATTATTACAAAATTCTGACATATTAATGACAAATGATTAACTCAATTGATTTTCTTAATTTATATAAATTAGTTAACTAGTTTTAAAAGATTGGAGTGAGTATTTTATTTAACTCAATCTTGTGCCATGCGATCATTGTAGAATTGATTGTCTATATTATATATAATTTCTCTTTATTAGGCTTCCTACTCCCATTTTGTGCACACTCATATATGATGATAATTGAACGACTCAGCAAAATTTATCCTATTGTCTTTTGCTTTCCTCCTTAATTGACTTCCTTCTCGAGCTTTCTTTTTCTAAGCTTTAGTCATTCTAGCACTTTGGGCATAATAAAAAGAAGAAATTAAAAACATAAAATTGTTATAATAGCATATCTATACTTAGAATTTCTGCCCCTCCCCCTCCTCGTTTCTGCATTTTCAGATAAAACTGATATATTGGATTTTGCTATTCTGAGTAGACCTTTCAATTAACCACGTTCAGCAAGTTGTTTTTCTTGGTTTGGAAGTTTGCTATAGCCAGGTAAGTGATAAATCTTTTGAACAGTGAAGCCTAAATTGCTCTCTAAAGTCTCCATCAATCTGATGTAACAAAAGCAGTAGTGTACAGGATTATTGTCTTAAGATTTTTTTTTGGGCTAAACTATGGGTATTTTTTTATTTGAGACAATTTTATTTAAGACGTGTGGGCATCTCTCTTGGTAAAAATTCAAAACTTGATTTACCACGTTGTGAGGGATTAACCCTTTTATTAGACTCAATCCTTATTGATTTTGTCTCAAGATTCTCAATGGCAAATGGAAGAGATAATTAAGTGGACCCGACAGAAGAAATATGGTCTTTCTAGGTGGTGGAATATATTAATGGTTATTACACACATATATATAGCGGCACATTATTACAATTCACTTTTCAGCTCGCAAATTAAAAGTGAGATTCTCGGAAAAATAGCTGTCATCAATGTGTGAAAAATCTACCTGGATTTCTACTTTCTGCTGTTTGTATCCAATGATTAATTCTGTATATATGGAATCTGAGTGTGCATGGTAAGAGAAATTAAAATTTGCATTCACTTCTGAAGTGATGAGTCAAAGGAAAATAGAGCCACACACTTGAAGTTATAGTATTTAACTATTTATATTTATACTTCATCTGTCCCTGATCACAAGTCTCAGTTTTCGGATTTAATTTGTTGTATATATGAATTTTGTCTTAGCTTAATAAAGATGCACTTTTGAGTGATAAATTATTATAGTTAATGTAAATTTTTCAAATATGAAGTTTGAAATCTCTACCTTACTTAAAACAACATTGTTTTTTCTGAAAAAAAAAACCTTTTTACTTCACATTAGACTGAAGGATAAATATGCAATTTTACCCATATCTTAGCGTTTAATATCCTGATTTTTTAATAGTACAATACTTATGATCTTATTTTTATGTAACCAGCATCTTGATGTTATATTTTAGTTACGTGTAACACTGTGCTAGATTTATTATAAATAAAATTAGGACGCTAGATGCACTAAAATAAAAAGACCATGTGTAAAATTGGACAAACAAAAAATGGGATAAAAATATTGAGTAGAGAGTTTAGCTGAGAAATAAAACCAGGGTAAAATTTTACTTTTACCCTGAACTGAATTTCATGATAAATCTAGTTCCGTGGGAGTGGGCATTGAGAGAGATTGACCCGTAAGCATGCAAGCAATTAGCATGAAGCAAGCAACGAGAAGACGTAGTAAAATTGAGTGAAGTCGCTTTCTGGAGAAATGTGAGATGACCTCAAACACAGTGCCAAGCTGGTAAGTGCCAAAGAAACCATTACGCCTCTATATATAAGTTTCACAAGCCCCAACCCTACATGTCATGCATATATATCATATACCACCTTTCCTCCCCTGCCACCAAACTCCATTTAAATCCCTCTCTCTCTCTCTCTCTCACTCCGACTCCATCACTCTCTTACTTCTTATTCACTCTTCACTTTCATTAACCCCCCCCCAAAAGTTCTCCTCTCTCAGTCTTCATAAGCTTGCCGCCGGCGGCCACCATGACTGCTGCTGCTGCAGAGGTTGCTCGAACTGTCGTCGGTATCTTAGGTCCGTTCTTTAACTCCTTCCTTTTAATTCTCATCGTTTAATTTGTGTCTATATCAAACCTTTAATTTAATTCCCCTTGTGTCGTACTCCTCTGGTCCTAATATTAGTGTGTATAAAGATTTTATATTTCGAAGTGAAGAAGTATTTTACTGAGAGATTTTGATTACTTGTGTTGTGTGTGCATGTTTTTATTACCTTAATTTTCAGGAAACATCATCTCCGGCTTCCTGTTCTTGTCTCCAGTGTAAGATTCATTTCTCTCTTTCACTGCTTAGCTTATCATCATCTTCCTCCCCTGCAAATGGAGATCAACATTTTATGCTATTTTTTTTCTTTTGATTTTATTTTGAAAATTTAGTTATACTTCAATATTAATTGAAAACTTTTAAGATCACTGAGACTCAGTCCCCTTTAAGATGCATGCATTTATTATTAATTTATCACTTTTCATTTGCATACTAGAGATTGTATGTAAAGTGAAAAAGATGAGAGAATAACAATTAAATTCTAGTTGTATTCTCAATTTACAATTAGATTTTCATTTGCATATGTTTAAATTGAGATTTAATACTCTCAGTCCCCTTTAAGATGGATATGATGTTTTGATATAAAATGTGATTTTTTTTTTATTCGCATGTTGCTAATTACTATACATGATCTAATTCAAATTAGACACGAACACATCGCACAATAGTGGAGTGTCTTTCTAGTGGCTGATTTGATTTGACTGGGAAAATCTCTGGGCCAGCATATGTTTCAATCGGTGTTGAAAACTGGACAAGTGTCATTTTGATCTCTTTGATTGCATACTATAGCATAATTACAGCAGAAACATTTTTCATATATAGCAATAATCATCTTGAACTAACGTAATTGATAGACACTAGATAAGACAATAAGGACTGGCCTGGGTTTGTTTAAATAGTTCTATTTATAAGTTATTTTTAATATAATGTACTCCGTCGATTCTTAATATAAGATCTATTTAACTAATTTGATTATATTACAAAAGTTAGGTAAGATAGTTAATTATAAGAAATATGATATGTTTTTCCTAAAACACCATAATCATCTTCCTTAATATTCTCCCTCCCTCTTCTACTTAATTATGGTTGATGGAGTGTCGATAGGGGTAATTTAAAAAAAATTGATAAATATGAGAAATAAGTATTATATTTAAGATCAAAATCAACTTAATAATCAAGTCTTATATTAAGTACTGGAAGAGTATTAAAATTAAGAACAAATTTTTAAATCATAATTTTCTATAGTCAAAAAATTAGATAGAATAAATGTTTAATCTTATAATTAGTTCAGTCATTCTATTATATATGCATAAATAGTATCATCATGTGTGAGGCTGAAAATAATGTTGAAAATGAAAGGAATATTGAATGCGTAAACACAGGCCAACGTTTGTGGGAATATGGAAGAAAGGGTCGGTACAGGAATTCTCGCCGGCGCCGTACTTAGCGACTCTGGTAAACTGTATGGTTTGGACGCTGTACGGCCTTCCGATCGTCCACCCTCACAGCATCCTTGTCGTCACCATTAACGGCTCCGGCGTTGTGATCGAGATCGTCTTCATCGCCCTCTTCCTCATCTATTCTCCTCCCAGAAAGCGAGTCAAGGTCCTCGCCTGGTTCATCCTCGAGCTCATCTTCATCGCTACTCTTACCGTCCTCACTTTAACTCTCGCTCATTCTCACAAGAAACGCTCCGCCATCGTCGGAACCCTCTGCATTATCTTCAACATCATGATGTACGCTTCTCCTTTAGCGGTCATGGTTCGTTCTCCATCAACTCTTAACAATTGTTCTCCATCGATCTCTTATACATACATACGTACATACACACACACATATATATATATCACTTGACTAATGCGTTATCAACTTTGAATTGATTGAGCAGAAATTGGTGATCACCACGAAGAGCGTTGAATTCATGCCCTTCTTCATCTCTCTCGCCGCCTTTGGAAACGGCGTCGCTTGGACCACTTACGCTCTTATTCGTTTTGATCCTTTTGTCAGTGTAAATAAATCTCTCTTTCTTCCCTCTCAAAATTCACACACACGCACACACATATATATATATCAAAGTTATAAACAAATGTTGAAGTATATATACTGGTGTTTGTTTCTGATTAATGCTCAGGTGCCGAATGGGCTTGGGACGTTATTGGCGGCGGCTCAGCTTATTCTGTATGCTACCTATTACAAGAACACAAAGCGGTTGTTGGCTGCGAGGAAGGCCAAAGGATCAGAGATGAATAATCTGTCGGAAGTTGTCGTCGGAAATGGAAGCCGAGGCCCCGACAAGATTGAGGCTGCTCCCAAATAATATGATTAACAGGGAGACGTCTGTTATATATAAAAATATAATAATCCTGCTGGATTTTAGGTGGCCAAATTAGAGCATGAGTCTTTTGTTGTCCCACCATTATTTTCTAATCTCTCTACTGCTTTAATCCCCTCCAGATTTAGCTTTGATGAGTATGAGGTTTTGTGGTCCTCAGTCTGAACGCTGAGGAAGGAAAATAAAATAAAGGAAAGCGTGCATGTTCGTATCTGCTTCCAACTCCAAAGATATATTGACTCGTGATTTAAGTTCTAATTGGAAGAAAAAACAGTTTTATTAGCCTCTATGTTGTGGAATGAACTCCACCGATAATATGATCTTTTGCCATTAACAAGTAACTGCACTTCCAATGGGTTTATAAACTCTAGTCCTATGAGGTAATAATAATAAGCTGCGTTTGAGCAAACAAGTCTAGTCCGAAGGGAAGTTGTTTCCCCTCAGATCATTGCAATTACGAACGGGTTTGGATTAAATTTGATGGTTTTTAAAAGTGAAAATTCAGAGCTGGTATGAAGATGCAGATGAAAGAAACGTGGTCTGATGCAGATGAGGCATATAATATGTAATTCGACCAGGTAGTACCTTGTGAAAGATGAGTTATTTACAAAATTTGAAAACAAATTTTATTGCATGTTTTCGCACAATTGAGCATTACCAAAATGCGCAATAAAAATTTTAGATTAAATTGTTTTATTGTATTAAGTTGGAGCATCATTAAGAATGACAACAATTATTTTACCTAAGGACTACAACGTTTAGTTTTTTTTTTTTTTGGGCCTGAACTAAAACGTTTAGTTGAATGAGTTCTCCGTCAAAATTAATGGGAAAACTTGCTTGAGGAAGCATCAAAGCTTGACATGAAGACGGCTAGAGTGCGGTTAAATCTCTTTGATGTTACTCTATGGATTATGCCAGTTAAGAAGACAAGGGGAAAAAAGAAGGGAAATTACTGAAAATTACTCAATTGTAAAAGTTTATTACCCAAATATATCTAAGGACTCAAATTCATGAGCAAAGGCAACTCATCTTTCATAGGTACAACTCTTCCTCGACTGTGTATAATATAGTCTTATATTTTTTAAGATAATTCTCACATAGTTAACGAATAGCTACACATAATAAAAAGAAGTTGTACCTGAATTGTTAAACAAATTTTAGATGCCTTTAGATAGATTTTGCAATCAAGAATTTTTGAGTGATTTTCCCAAAGGGAAGCTATAAATTTGCTCCAGTCACCGGAATACCCTCATTCATTAGTTCGATTTGTGTCCCAATCGCTGCTGGGACTAGGGATTTTAGCAAAATTCAAGGCTTTTTGTGAGGGTACTGAAGCTATAAACTTGATTCTGAGAGACTAGAGTATCAGCCATCCCAGTGAAGATCTTATAGATGGGCATTAGTAGTCATTTAGGCGCGAATTTGTCTATTGCCATTAATTTTAAGCAAAGCAACGCTAATTACTGTGCATCCGCTCCTACTGGTTTTGATGTATCCCGATATCAGGGCTCTGGAAACCGGAATCAGATAGATCGGGCTAAATTTACGTGCTAATTATTAATCATCAAGTTGAATATTCCCAGGGCTCTACGTCTGTGTGCACGTGTGCGTGTGCACAAGTCCCAGTACCATATCTTTGACGGCTCAATCTCTGACTTTGATATATTCACCCAAAAAAAAATCTCTGACTTTGGTATGACCCAAATGTTATAAACATCATCAAATGTTAGGATTAAAATGAAGAAGAATCCAACTTATGATAGCCAATTGACCTCTTACACCTACCAAGAGGAAAGATCACAAGAAGCATACAATCATCAATGAACTTTATCAATACTCAAGTTAATGATCATAACGGACACGTTCCTCCGCTCAGGAGGGAAATGAACGTTGAATATATGCAGAAACTACCTACCAGGTTGCGCTGCAATACTACATAAAAAACGCACTAACAAGCTTCAACCATTCAACTCAGAGATCCATAATCCTCATTATATAAGTGGGATTTGGGATCGACAGGGTTCAATAAATCACACTAGTCAATGGATGAAGTGATAGATTTGCTATAACTTTTGCAAGCTAAACCCCTTTCAGAAGAATAGGATAGACACGCCCATTGTAAAACATCCTGCTGCCACCCAAGGGCTCAAACGTTCACCTGCACAATGTCACGTCACAAAGCTAATCATTTACCTATAGCAAAAGAAGGCTTGGGCCTTCAGCCGCTAGAAATTCAACAAACTTTTCACACTTAAATAAAAACAGGACTTTCCAAGAAGAAAACAAAAATAAAGAGCAAAGCAAACCAAGAAATAATGAGTGTTCCTAGAATTGACGCGCATGCAAATACGGCTACTACCAAAAGCATGCTTAGGGGTCTTGAATAGCACAAGTGGCATTACATTTTTGGGTGGTAGAGATAGCTGATGTTACAGGTGAGTAAAACCGAACCATAACTGAACATCGAACTAAACTTAATTTGGTTTTTTAGGTTCGTTTAATTTGGCTTTTTTTTTTAGTTAACTATTTCGATTATTTCAGTTATCGGTGTTCGATTTGATGTCTTTTAAAATATTTCGGTTATAACCAAATAACCGAAATTTATTTTAAAAAAAACTATTTTTTTTATTTTTTAATCTTTCTCTATTTTCTTTCTTTTTGACCGGCCTCCCTATTTTTCTTTTCTTTTTTTGACCAGCCTCCCTTGTTATTAAGAAAAATACTTACATAAGTCGTGTTTGCCACTTCGCCTCCATCACTCCCTGTCTCTCTCCCACAGTCTTTCTCTTTCACTCCCGTCTCTAAAGCCCTAGATCTTGGCATCTTGCAACTTGCCGACCTCCTTCTCTCCTTTCTCCTTCTTCAACCTTCGTCCTTACAAGTTCATATCTCCACTCCTTGGCCACCGCAAAGTTCAGACTCACAACTCACATTGCAGATTTGTAGTCGCCAGTCGGCACTCGCATTCCAGTGTCCTCCCTCCTTGGCTGTTGATTCCAGTCGAAATCCCCCGATTTTCTTGCATTCAGTCTTCACTATTGTGAGGTAAGATATATACATATGAAAATTTCAGCTTGCATTAGCCTCTCTTGCATTGGGTCCATTAGGAGTTGATTTGGGCGGCATGGATGGATTCAACAGTGCTTAGGGGTTAACATTATTCGAAGAAAAGCACCTTTTCTTGGGCATGGGCATTGAAAATTTAGAGAATGATGTTTCAAAAAGTGGAGTATGGTTTGCGAAAGAGTACAAGAAAGATAGATGAAGGTAGTTGAACTGGTCTGTGTCAATGCGCATGGCCATCGATCAAGTTTTTATTTGGGGCTCTTTTGATGTATCATTGTGTGCCTCTTGCCCTCTTGTCTACTTTCTAGTTTGCCCATTTTCCACCAATCCCTCCTTTTGGCTCAGATTTTATTTCCTTCCCAAACTTTTTTCAGTGGATTTTCTTTTTCTGACAAAATTAACCAATAAGCACATAACCTAAAAACGACAAATGACTTGCGAGAATGCCTCTAATAGTTTTGATTGTTTAGATAGCTCAATTAATCTTTTTATCCCTCATAAATTACGACCAATTTGCTAATTATTATTTATATGAAATGTGTGCACCTGCAAAATCAAGTCAAACACAATCTCTACATTATCTTGCATGCAATGTGTGCAATATATTAATATTAAGTATACAAAATAATCTAAAATAACCGTATGTTATCTTGTATAAATCTCATAGAAATTTGATGATGTGATTCATTTGACTTATAAATTAATAGTGTTAGAATTTTGATATTGACTTATAATGGTACTTTGTGCTATGTGATATGTTGTAACTGGTATTTTTATTCAGTGAGCTGTCTTCTCAAACTATGGGTGATGCTCAAGCTGGGGATTTGCAAACAATTGCATTGGAGGCAACTGTTAATATATTGTAGATACAACATGGAAAAGACTTAAGAGTAAATAAATTTTACTGTTGATTTTTTTGTTTTTCTTTTTCTCAAGTTGTGCACTCTTTAAGTATCTTCCTTTAATTGGGCAGCTGCAGGTTTTATGTTGTATGTAAGGAGAGCTTGGGGACTACTTGGATTTATTCAGACTTTTGCTATGCTGTACTTCAAAATTTTGAATGTTAATGTTGATGTGCTGGTAGTTTGTTTGTTTAGACTTTTATTATGTTTGAATTTAAATTTGTTATCAATTTATATGCTCTTTTGGATCTTTTGTGGGCTTTCAAATAGATTATTAGTGTTTGGACTTTTATTATGTTGTACAAGCTACTGTCATACTGTTTGGAACAGAAAAGGCCCAAAAAAAAGCCCACTAACCGAACCGAATTTATTTTGATTAATTCGGTTCGGTTAATTGTTGCACTTCGGTTTCGGTTTGGTTTCATAAATATGCACATTTCGGTTATTCGGTTATCATTGTTAACCAAACCAAATAATCAAATGCTCACCCCGAGCTGATGTAATGATCTATCTTTTATAGGACAAAGCACAAGAGAGCAAACATTGAACAACGTTAAAGTCAAGTGCAATAACAAGCAAAACAATAACTGGCCATATTGAACTATTCGAGATTGAAGTCAATATAACTGACTATTATAGGCATGGCTAGAGAAATCATAAAAACGAACCTATTCTAGCCGCCTTCCAAAAGAATCCCCGAAACCTGCAAGGTGACACCAAAAAGTGGTTTATTAAAATCTAAAATTTATACATGCAACTGTACTGATTAACTTAAACAAATACATGATTTTTGCATAATTGGAATCCAAAAGGTACAAGAAGGAACGCTAAAAGTAAAGTATCCCAAGCTAAAACCACTTATTTTTATTGAGTTGCATGTAAAGGGATATACAACACCAAAAATCAAGTGGCCATCCTATCGAGGACATAACCAAGATGAGAGACCGGTGATATCAAAGCCAGCAGCAGCTCTTAAATCCACAAGTGACATGGCGTTCCCACTACTTCAATTTGTAG